CCTCGACTACCTATGCAGTATAGCCTGTCTCACGAGGCAGGGCCCAGGATGCCTAGGCCACTTTTGACCTGATTATGTGACTGTCACCATGGTAGGCCAGAGGTGGATGAGCAGACTCACCAGACACAGAGCAGGGTGCAGAACAGGCAGATTGAAAGACTGCTGAGGGGAGCAGCAGGTGAGACAGGAGAGGTTTGCTGCACCATGTGAGTGTGCTTCCTGGCTAGGGATTGAACTCATGCTGCAGTGACTGGTGATAGTTTCATGCTGCTGAGACTTAACACCTTGAGCCACCAGTGGGGGGGAGGGCTTAAATAATGAATCTTCTTGTCATCTGCGGGGTCCTGTTATAGCTGGCCACTCATGGACAACTGTGACTTATCTGCTATCCACAAATCACAGCAGGGCATTCCTCGACTACCTATGCAGTATAGCCTGTCTCACGAGGCAGGGCCCAGGATGCCTAGGCCACTTTTGACCTGATTATGTGACTGTCACCATGGTAGTCTCTGGGCAACTCTGCCTGTGATAACATCAAATACTTCACGGATGTTAAAGACTCTTGACATATGGCCATGGTGTCCCCTTCTTTCTCTGTTCCTTGTAAAAGTCTATTCCTCATTCCAATCCCACCCTCCAGACTATATTCTTCATATCACTGTTGCATGGGTCAGCTTTTACTAGCCTGTATGCTTTCAATAAATGGCACACAAACTTCTGCTCAAGTAACAGAGTATTGCCATGCCCAGCTCCACCACTGCTACAAAATTCCTGTAGCAACAGGTCATCATTACAACAACCTTTGTGTTATCCCATTAAACTTTCAAACAGCAAGCTCCTTTTTCCAAAATAGATGATTTTTGCATTTGATGTCAATGTTTTAGTCGCCTTGGAGGGGGATTATCCAAAGCTAAACAAACCAGAAAAAAATGAAGACAAATATTGGATGATTTCACGTATGAGTAATACAAAGGAAAAAAAAAAGTAGATTGATAAATAAAGCAAAATAAGTATAAACTAGCAGGCATTAATTAATAATTGAAGTTTTTAGAGTTAAGGTGGGGGGGGGGGAGGAAAAGGACCTAGGGAGATAAGAAAAGCCGAATGAATTACAGCTATTGTACTTCTTCTGCTAGCCCCTCCTGTCACTTCAAGGTTGGAATTCACCTGCTCAAGGAGGTGCTAGAAAAGAAACCTGTCAGCAGGTATTTATTGAGAACTACAGCTGGTGGCATAACAGAACATATGCCAGGCCATCTCTGAGGACCTAAGTATCACACAGGGAGCCGGAATGTCACTGGCCTCACTACTCCCTTCTTCCCAGAGACCTCGAGGCTTAAATCAAGCACAATGGCTTTACATACACACCCTAGAGCTAGAAAATACCAGGGAGCATCATGCTCCAAAACATAGGGCTGTCAAATCACTATGGTGACTGATGTGTTCCACAGAAAAGTGGGACTTGCTAAATAAAGAAAATCAAGCAAAAGGAATAAAAGCAAAGATATATTACACTGAGCTTACTCTCGTGGGATATTTTTGGCCTTTACACAACAGCTATCTGACAGGGATTTCGACAATCCACACAGGACTTCTGTGAATAGACTGAGTTAGCTCTGAGGTAGAGAAAAGCTGCCATTACAAGAGATGTTTATATGCGAACATTATAACAGCCGGTGTTTGCGGGCACATTCTCGAAAGGAAAACTAGCCAAATGAGAGGGCACACACAGCAAACCATTCTCCCAAAAAATGGTCTCCAGGGCTTTGAGATCTTAGAGTAAAGGCCATTCTGCCTCAATCTAATACAAAAGTCTTCACTGAGGCCTTTTATTTTCACCCTACCGGTGGCCTTCTAGGATCTCTAGCCTACAGACGGCAGAGCCCAGGAGTGAATGATGCTTATTTTCTTTCACTCACGAACTGTTGTGGCAAAGCCTCTTTTATCACTAGTTTTCATTTTATAAAAAATGGTGGATACTTGAAGTTACTGAATTTAAAGTTATTAACTTAATATTAAAAATCTCTTTAAAAGGCTCTATAGGTTAACAGACTGTGTTCTGCTTTCCCCCCCCCTTTGTAACGTTTTTATAGGCATTTCTACCAAAAGAAAAATAAAAAGACAAAACTATTTAAGGATTTCAATTTTTTTAAATGTGAATTTTCCCCGAAAACAGATCTCAGCACTAAAAACAGTTTTATTAAGAAACTATAAAATATTTCCAAACTTTTATGAATGGAAAAAAATTTAAACCAATTCAAATTATGCATAATTACGACTTATACTAACAAAGAAATCCTTTATCTTGCAATACTTTTCAGTACTATCAAAATTATTCAAAGAGCGTTACTCAGGGAAGAACTTTTTTTAGTAGTGAGTTTGTTGGACTTTAGTAATAAGTTTGGTGCAAAATAAATAAGACTAATAAACCTCATTTTTTATATGTCCTTTCCATAAAAAGTAAAGACAAGGTAAAACAGCATTCAAGATTTGTATGTAAACACACTCACTATCATAACTGTTGAACTTAATCAAAATATCATTCACAAAATTTACTTTCATTTTCACAATATAATTATGATTCTTTTTATCCCTTCAAAATGCAGACC